AACCGCACTGGTTATTCTGGCTGGTCTGCCCTGCCTGTGGCTGCTGCCTCCGCATCCAGGCGGACGCATCCCGGAGGCTGCTCTCGCACGCTATGATGGTGGAGACGTGCCGGAAATCAATCAGGATGGGCAGCATCTGGAGTGGCCTACCGTGCTGGAAGCCAACATACTGGGGCTGGGCCATGTGCAGCAGCAGATCTACATGCTTAAGGTTAAGAACCGGCCGCCTGACTTGCAGCCCATCACCGTCACAATGCACAAGATAGCCATGGCGAACCCATCACTCGATCAGTGGGTGGACACCATCCCATGCTCTGCTGTGTCGTTGCCGGAGAACATCACCGTCCTCTGCATGGATGTCGTCAGCAGCAAGGAGGAGCTGCTAGAAAAGCTCAAGAGCACCAAGGTGTTGTCCATCCGAGCAGCTAATATTGTGGCCTGGGTCAACTACCTCAGCAACCTCACCTCCGAGAGGCATATCGATGACCAAGCGATGAAGGAGTGGCAGGCAATGGACCCAGAGTGTCACAAGCGGACAACACACCGGAGGATGCTGGTCTCGAGGAGCTCGGAGTTCTGGTGCCTGTTGTCCCTGACACAACTGTGCCGGGATCAGGTGATGATGCACGAAACCCGGTGGAGCTACACCGTGAGCTGACAGCGGAACACCGGCTGGTCTTTGCGTCTGGGGGCCGTGGTTCTAAGGTAAGCTGGTTATGGGTGGGTGAAGTGTATTCCCTGATGCGCTGCTACTCTCGTGCATGACACACCCGCATAAGGCTTGTGCCTCCTCACTGATATGCATATCACAATCGACCTGCCCAATGCATGCTCCCTGCTCTATGCCTCCGCCCTGCTGCAGATCCTGGACTACTCCCGGGAAGATGTGCTTGCCAGCAACTTCCCCACCGCATTTCTGTACACAAAGGGCGGCCTCCGTCCCCTGGGTATGAGCAACCGGACCTTCTTCCAGCACGTGTCTACGCGTGTGCCACAGCGGCAACCTCCTCATGCTCGCCCGCATGGTGGATGTGCTCAACATGGAGGACGCAAAAGTGCAGACATGGGTTACAGTGAAGTGCTGCCAGCAGGACATCGACACGGTGGGCGCCATCCCGCGAGAGGCTGTCAAAGCGATGGCGGACATCCTGGCATTGCCGAAGATGCACCCGGATCGCCGCCACCTGCTCCAAGACATGTAACCTCTCGTGCACACCCTCGTCACCTCTCTTCGGCGAACAGTCGCACGCATCGACATGACAGATGCATATTACCACAACGTGCACGCCAATCTACGTGGTGTAGCCACCGCAACCGGGCTGCCAATCCTCATGTTTAATGTCAACCCCGCCGACTTGCACAGTGCGGCTGCAGTCGTGGCCGCTGGGCAGTTTCTGGAATTTGGCGAGGATGGTGCTCCGTTGTGGGAGGAGCGTGTCATGGACAAGTGGTGGCGGGTGCGAAACAACCCCTACACCAGCCAAGCACTCCTCAACACGGTTAAGCTCGCCTTCATGGACATCCTTTTTGGTTTCAAACCTGGCGACAAGCGGCAGAGCAACCCCGACTGCTTCTGTGGCACCGTGTTCCACATCTGCATCTGTTACATGGCGGCCCGTGGTGAGGAACTGCATCTCTTCGCAGTGCCCTGCATGATGGCTGACTTTTGCAATGCAACGCTCCGGTGCTGCTATACTACACATTCCTAATATGCGGTTTCAGCCGCACATGCCGTACACAAAGCACCATACACCCGTGAATGTGAAGCACCAGGGCATGCGACCGCGAGTACACACAACGTGTGTGCACGTGAATGTATGACCGCATGAAACCGTACGTGTAGTACTGCAAATATTTGCCGAACGCAAGGATGTGAGATGTGAGGTGTGACGGTGAGACATGTATGTGACAAGGATGTATGGTGGGGATGTGAAGTGTGAGGATGCAACAAAGATGTGAGGTGTGAGGATGCGACAACTGGGGCCGTGACAGACTGGGACTGTACTCATGCATCATGGGGATGCGACACGGCCCCATGTATGCACTACAGTGAGGCGGTGAGGACAGGCACCCGCCCAGACGTGAGAATGCAACGGCACTAGACACGAGACACAAGCATGCGTCCAGGGCGT